CCTTTGCTTTCCAGCCTTCTGATTTCTGCTCTTGCCCATAAGCCAAATGCCGCTGGGTGGGCCTTGCAGAATTGTGGATTTGCTTCCTGGTCAACATACAAGATAGCCTTGGCTCCTCTGACAGCCCCTAGACCCTACTGAATGACATCCAGGTATTTAATTAGGTGTTCACCCACACTGTCATTTTCTAATTGACAAGTGTTGAGACAGTCTAAGTGAATCTCTCAGAACCAATTTCACCCCATCAGGCTTGGGCCTCAGCCTTTTACTACAAATCACTGGTACCTGAACCAGCTACTTTAGATAAGAGACCAGAACCAAAATTGTACCCTTAATCTGTAAAAGTTTGCTGGTATAGGTTCTCAGCCAGCCGAGGTCTTGCACAAACTTAAAACTTCGTTCTGTGATCACTGATATGGCCGCACCAGTATTGGCTTCCATCAGAAATGGATGACCATTTAACCTGATGTTTAATTTGATTAGTTCTGATTTGGATGTTGCTAAGTAATTAACTGTTCCAAACCAGATGTACGTGGACTTTCCAGAGTATGCACTCTCTTGGATACTGGCCCATAAGTTATCTTACTCAATTTAGGTCTAGGTGGACTCTTTTCCTGTCTTGAGTCCACATACTGATATGTTGTATTGCTATCAGTATGGATCCTGAAGTAAATTTTAAGCTTTTGGCTGAGGCTTGGCTTTGTTTTGGGGTTTTGCTGTGGCCTTACCTGGAGTCCCTCTGATATGTCCTGAGTGAGGCTATGCAATTGCCTGTGCTCAAGTGGTGGTCCCCAAGCTCAATCGGACCGGCAAGGTGTCCACTTCCGTCAGAATACCCTGCAACTCATACTAAAGCCTGAAGAAAGCTAGTTTATTTCCTCTCACTAGTGACTGTAAGCTGTGCATTTTCACCAATAAGTCAGAGACTTTATAATTTGTGAAACATTTGCTCTGTGCTTCCCGTAAGTAAGTGGAAAACATCTGAATACAGAGAGCGAGAGAGAGAGAGGTTAATGAGCAGCAAGTCCTGACAAGCAAAAGGATCACCTCAAAAAACCCAGTGGACAGATCCATTGAACTGCATTCCCAGACATTCGCTCTACCCATAATACAAGTTTTTTTGTCTGTGTCTGCCTGTGTCTGTCTGTATGCTTGCGTGTGGAGAAAGGAGGGATGTTATAATAGGGATAGAGTTTTAGTGAGGTGAGTGACTCGTTGACAGTTCATAGCTGTCTAACTGTAACTAGAATCTATTTACTTGCAAAAAATAGTAATTCTTGGTAAGTACAGAAACATGGTCCATTCGGTTAACCTGGTCTAAAAGGACAAGCAAATAGAGGAATTTTAAAGTACTTGGATACAATCTTTAATTTTCTGGGAACAGTAGGGCTTGATTTCTAGCACTACCTCAGTGAGCAGCGACAATACTTTCAACCAACATCAGTGAACAAGGTACATTCATTTATTGTAGAGATGCAGAGAGCCTATACAATGCTGAGTGAGTCTCCAACTCATACATCTAGATTAGGGTTTACCCTTCTTCAAGAGGGCAGCAGAGAGTGGCAGACTTAATGCTCTGTGCACAACTCCACATGATATGTATGTGATGCCTACAGCGATCAGCACCATTCCAGACTGGTTATAAGAGAAACAGAACCAATCAGAAACCTTAACCTAAAGAGACCATTGTAATTTAATACAAGGTGCTATGTTTGTAAATAGTGCTTCATTCTTCATTGAGAGATAGCAAACCCTGGTTGGCTGGCTGTCACACCTCCTCCCAATCCATGTACAATGGCATCTCCCTCATCCCTTCAGTGGATGGGCACAGGTCACAACACCCAGGCCCTCTCTCACTTAGCCAGTGAATTAATATATCCACGTCTTGAGTGATGGAGTGAAGGCTGACGTGCACAGCCAGCAAGCACTAACTGCTCTGCAGGAGGTGGCTCTTCAAAGTAACCGCCATCCATTCCATGGGGCATCCATGTGCTTGCAGCTGGAATCACAACAGACAGAACCCAGGCAGACTCCATGGCACTTTGCCAGACATTGTCCTCCTTGTCTAAACATCTCCATCACCTCATTAAAGGCTGAGTCCAAAGGTTTACCATTTGCATTGGTATTGGTAGGAGTCTGCTCTCCAGTGGTCCTCTGAAAGTCAAAGCCTTTGGTTATTATTTCCTACGCAAGCTTTGGGCCCCTGTTAGTGCTGTGCCCATCAGAATTTGACACTGACCCTTACTCTACATAGGCTTCCCACAAAAGTACATGTCTCCATGCTGCTGAAGGGTGGGAAGGAATGTCTTGAAGGCGGACAACTCTTCATCCTTAGAGGCGGTGTTCAAGTGTTCATAGAAATGGGCCAGGGGAACGGTTCTCTTCTCTTTTATTTCCTGGCATGGGATTGGTAACTGGAGGTTGTACAGATAAGTTATTAAGATTTCTTCGTGTCAGGAGGTACCACCAATGCCCCAAGTTATTTTAAGATGTTGCTGCTTCACGTGAGATTGGCAGTGGCGAAATGAAGGCTTTCTCACCAGATGGATCGTCCCATCGCCCTTCAGCACAAGCACAGTCCCCTTGCTCTCCTGCCAGTTCCACTGCCTGCTCCTTGAAGGGGGTCGTACACCCAGCAATTCTCCCAACCCACTTTACATTTTGTACTTACTGTGCATGTTCTTCTCCTGTAGAGACAGAGAAGCATTGACAGACATGGGCACATGAGCTGCATTCAGCTCTACAGACTGAGAGGTGAATGATTTATTTTTGTGTTCCTGCTAAGAAGAATGTGGTTTGGGATATCTGAAGATTAAGGATGCTGAACGAACAGAGCTTTGATTTTGTCTAAGAATAGAATGGGTTAAAGGCAATAAACATTGTATGCCGAGTATGACTGAGATACTTCTGAAGTGTTCTGATCAAAACTACCTTTTGTGGTTGCGTCCTTGTCCCTTACAATCCTTTGGAAATAATGTTTCAGATATGTAAGTTCTGCGAGTTGAGATAAGAGATCAGTGACCTGATAGAGCATGAGCCCGAGTGTTGTAGCTCCTTTTATGTTTAAACTGTGAACCCCATCCTACTTGTGGTGCAAGGAGTGCTACATTGTTGATCTAGTTAACTCAGCCACATTCAGTACAAGTGAGGTACCTGATGGAGTTGGCTGGCACCCAATCTTGTATGTGACAGTCCTGTGCAGTGACAAACTTATAATGCTTCATTAACCTATGAGTGTAAGTTGGCAGTGAGTAGACAATGGCAGAGTACAGCAGATTATTCATCCTTTCATGATGCTGGAGCCAGGTTCTCTTAAGATGCCATGGGTGCTGACTCCATAGGGATCTCAGTCCAGGATGCCTTGTCAGTTGGAATGGTCTCCTGCTACAGTAATAGTACATCCCTCCTTTCCCATATGGTCTGTAGGAGAACATCTAATGAGGTGTCACTCAAGCATGGAGCTACTTCCGGTCTGGTCTCAGACATTTCCAGGAATGGGTGGGAGCAACCAGAGGTTGAGTGATACTCAAGGCTTGAAGAGAGCAAAGTACTGTCCAGGGGTGTTTGTTTTTTCAAAAAAAAATAGCACCCAAAAGATCCCTGGTGGCCTTCAGAACTTCAGGATTGCCTGCTCATAATATTTAGCATTTTACTTATGTGTGTAAATGCAATGTGCTGAGAAGAACGTTATCACACAAGATAGCCAGACCCTCCCCAGACAGGAAGTACCTCCTGCTTCAGGACTGTTATTTCACTTAGTCTCCAAAAAAAACAAGGTCCTGCCCGACACTTCAAACAAAAAAAAAGTTAATTTAAGGCTAATTGAAAGCACTTTGGAAAAATAGATAGTCGTGACTGGCACTTTAAGTTTTCAACTCTTGCGCATTTTCTTCTTCAACATGCCCAGCTGATTGTGCAAGCAGCAGCACAAAGAGCACCAGCTCACCAAAGATATTCACATATAGTCATTTGAATTAGGAGCAGACATAGGCCACTCAGCCCTTCAAGCCAGCTCTGTCATTCAATAAAACTGACTGATCCGTTTGTGTCAGAGATAGTAGGAACTGCAGATGCTGGAGAATTTGAGACAACAAGGTGCAGAGCTGGATGAACACAGCAGGCCAAGCAGCATCATAGGAGCAGGAAGGCTGACGTTTCGGGCCTAGACCCTTCATCAGAAAA